GGAATTGAACTCAGGACCTGGCACTTGGCAGGCGGACACTTATACCACAGAGCTATATCCGTGGCCCTTTTTCATCTTTGAGACATTGTCTCCTTGTGCAGCTCAGGCTGGCCTTGAGCTCCCTTTGTAGCCCAGCTTGATCCCAAACTTGTCATGATCCTCCTGCCTCACCTCCTGTGTGCTGTGATTATAGAAATGCATCACCATGCCTGGCTCAAATACCGTCTTGATATTCATACACACACACATACATGTGCAAAGTGGTAAAAGTGGATGCTTTTATGATAAGAAACAGTTCAAGGGCCAGCGAGATAGCTCAGTGGACTAAGTGCCCGCTTAGGTAAGCACAGGGACCAGGGTTTGATACAGTCTGGGCATGGTGGTGCATGCCTGTGATTCCAGCCCTGGGGAGGCTGAGAACAGGAGGATCACTATGAGTCCCAGACACTACCAAATACATTTATTTTTTATTTTATTTATTTTTTCCAAATACATTTAAGAAAGAAAGAGTTTGAGGCCACCCTGGGTTACTTAGTGAGTTCAAATCTGGCATGGACTATGTAGACTGCCTCAAAAAGAAAAAAAAAAGGAAGAAAGGGTGATTTAATAGTCACTACCTGTTTGTACCTTTCAGATTTTATTTTTGTTTTTTCTGTATTTTAGGGAAGGGTCTACAGGGTGTTCAGGGTCTCACTGCTAGATCAGACTCCTGTTTACAGCCTCCCAAGTGCTGGGATTACAGGCACGTGCCACCACACCCAGTCTTAATCACTGTCTCAGCGGGCCCTGGGGGCGGGCTGCCACAGCAGGCCCAAGGATTGAACCCCCAGCCCCTGCACCTGTTTGCAGGCACTTTAATCCAGATTTTATATTATGTGCATGTATTACCAAGATGATAAAAAAAAACCAAGATAATAAAAGCAACCAAAACCACACCTCTCGGGGAGATGGCTCAGTGGAATAAGCGCTTCCCTGGCAAGCGCAAGGGCCTGAGTTCAATCCCCAGTTCCGCAAAAAAACAAAAACAAAAAAACCACACCTCTGAGGAGGTGGTAACTATAGCATGATGTTTTCTTTGTAACTTTTTTGTTAAGTTTATTGGTACAATTCATATATACATCATGAGCGCATTCATCCTAGGGAATTTGTACCTGTACATGATAGGTCTTGATTCCTCTTGGACCAAGCACAAGCAGCCAAGTCACAAAACCTGGGTTCAAATCCCATATGCACTGTTTAGAAACTCAGCCATGATGCTAGGCAAGTTGTTTAACCTGTCAGGTGTCAGTTTTCTCATCTGAAATGAGGGTAAAGACATCGGTATGTGGGTGGTTGTGCAAGTTGGTGATGGGGCCCAGGGGTCAGTAAACTTTCTGTAGATGTCTAGATAGTAAGTATTTTAGGGTTTGTGTGATATAAATCTCTGTCATGACTGCTGTACTGTAGAAATAGGAAAGTGGTCGCAGACAGGGCCCAACTATGTTCCAATTTGCAAGTGTCTTTTTTTTTTTTTGGCACCTTGGGTATTGGGCCCAGGCAGGGCCTTGCACATGCTAGGCTAATGTTCTAATGCTAAGCTGTGCCA